AATTACGAACTTCAATAGTATTGAAAATACGCATAGACGATGCCATTCTAGTTCTTGGTTTACTTTGTGTTCAATCAATCTTAAGTGATCTGTGTTATGTTTTGTTATTGTGTTTCTCTTTTCGTCCTTTTTATTTGTTTACCTACCGATGTTTTCATGTTTAATTAGGCTGTCGATTTTCGATTGCCCCTTTGGTATCTTATACGTCTTTTTAAGTTATCACCTAGCATACCTAGCATACGTAGAGTTCTTTGGCTTGGTGGTCCTAACAACAGGACACATTGGGACATGACTTCATAACTAGTCAGAAAAGATTTTCTGGTTTATTTCCCCAAAAAATTAGACGCGAATCGAACAGCAATATTACAAAACAAATTTTTTGGGTCGTGGCTTTGATCCAATATAACACCAACAATATAATGGTGAAATATTTGCTAAAAATAAACCAGCGCTACAACGCCAATCTGTAGATCGTTATATTTTACATGTGACCTTAGAGTTATTATTCGAAATTCCAGGTCTTCCAATTGAAGTTCAGAAGTTAGACAAAAAATCTGCGCAAGTGTTCACCAGTCTGTTGGGAGAAGAAAGTTATCCACACTTTGAGTCAAGAGTAATGTTAGCTGGAGAACAGGGTACAGGAAAGACAACTATAGCAAGGTATCTTGTCGGTAAACGGCCAACTCGATTCAGGATGTCAACAGATGGAATAGAATTATACAATGGTCTTTCATATATGAACCTTGAAAGGAATGAATGGCTTGGCGGTGAGCAAGGTAATGCTTTAAGCAAATTTATATTTAACGTAAATTTCCTTTTCTAATATGATAAACGTTCTATCAAAGCGGTCATGAATTATTTTGCAATGGAAAGTGCTGAAAAGATACGGAAAAAAAGGCAATCTGTTAAGTATATTGTTCAAAGAGGATCATTACTCTTACGTTTTAAACATATTCGTTACTGTTTCTTTCACTATGTTTATTATTTTTCGGCGTTATCATACCCTCAAAAAAACAAACACACAGACAGGACGTGGCAAAATATATATACATCTCTCATCCATAAAAACATGAAATACACTAAGTACAAATCTGAGAGTACTCGTAGTTGCTGACAGCTAGTTCAAAGCCAATAACAACTAATAGATAACAATGTATCTAGGACTAAAATATCAATCAGTACACAACCATCATTCAATGGAATAAGTGTATAAAGACGTCATTTACAGTCAGAGAAAACAATGACATTGTGCAATGCCAACATATAAAGAGGTTAACTCCTAACTATCCTACTGCCTGTCAATACATTTATTTCGGAATTGCACAAGTCATGTCTTCTTTGACTGTCCACGACGTTAAAATACTAAATCCCTGGGACGTGTTTTAGTTGATTTTAGTCTCTGATGCATGATTTTTTTATCATTAATTGTTTTTGACTTTTAACTAGCTGTCAGTAACTGCGAGTATTCTCAAATCGTACTTTCTTGTTAATTTGACCTGTTGATACTATTTGTAATACTTTTTTGTTATTTAATGTTTACTTATTCAGGGTTATATCTGGTCCAGCTTTGATACGTGTTTGGTATTACTATTAATTTTCACTTCTTCGTACTATGAATATCAAAATTATTTATTTTGTAATAATATTTCCTTTCTCCACATAACAACAAAATTATTTTCATTTACCTGTGTATAATATTATTGCAAATGGCGGATTTTTGTTCAAGTTTTTTATTGTTTTTTCTGAAATTGTTTAACATTTCACAGCGGTATACTACTGTTACTTAAATTATTCATCCCTTATTTATTGATTTTGTATTTACATTGTACCATGGATCAGATTTATTCGTTCAGTGTATGTTCACTTGTGTTAATATGTCTTAAGTTAAACCATTTCTATTGATATTGTATAGTGTGTCTTTCTATGTTGTGATGTTACACTATTGTTTGAGATAAGGGTAAAGGTTTGGTACCATTAAAACGTTTAAACCCGCTGCAATTGTTTGTACCTGTCCTAAGTCAGGAATCTGATGTTCAGTAGTTGTCGTTTGTTAATGTGATTTATAAGTGTTTCTCGTTTCTCGTTTTTTATAAAGATTAGACCGTTGGTTTTCCCGTTTGAATGGTTTTACACTATTAATGTTTGGGGCCCTTTATAGCTTGCTGTTCGGTGTTAGCCAAGGCTCCGTGTTGGAGACCGTACTTTAACCTATAATGGTTAACTTTTATATATTGTGACTTGGATGGAGAGTTGTCTCATTGGCACTCATACCACATCTTCTTATATCTATATAGATATCGACAGATTGTAGTACCGTGAAAGTACATATGTGTAATATTTAGTACGGTTTAAATTTACCGATAACAACATCAGGATTTATACCAATAAAAACAATTTCAAAGATTTAATTACAGTCTTGAATTTGAAGCCTTTTGAAATACGTTTATTCAAAGGATTAAGCTCGGTTAATAATATCTCCGTAACCTTTATGATGTGTTATTCCGTTTGAAATAAGCTTTTGACATGTACAGTCAATCTTACAAACCACAGTTTTGTATTTATGGAAGAATTCCGAAAAGCTTTTAATTAATTTGTGGTAACGAAATACCCGACTTTTAATACTAGTAATACACAGATTACGCTCATTGAAATCAAAAACGTCACTACAGACTCGGGGTATAGGGAACAAGTTGTGATATATATCCACCGTATGACGGTGCCAAAGGAACATTACCGTCTAAAAAAAAGGAAAATTAACATAGGGAAAGAAAAATCATTCTTTTTGTCGTAAACGTTTGTATAGAGTTTTGGTGGAACACTGAAATATCAAAATTTAGGAAAGGAAAGTTATTGCTATTAATATTAAATTTGTTAATAGTCAGTTCCTTTGCGTAAATTTCAGCAGTATATTTAGAGGAATCTTGATTTTTAACGAAAACATATCATCAAGACAACGAAAAGTGTTGTTGAATTTATCAATTCAATAAAAAAAAAATTACTGAGTTTGGCCATACAATGTGATTCATAATAGTATAGGAACAAGTCTGGTATTAAAGGAGCGCAATTATTGCCCATAGGAATTCTTACAACCTGTCGATAAGCTTTATTGCCAAAACGTATATATTTAATGTCAAGGAGAACATTTAGGGCTTTAATTATCCAGTAAGTATATCTAGCATATTTACCTTTTTCATTTGAGAAAAAAGGCTGTATATGAGTTGCAGCAGGTAAATTTGCAATCAGATTTATCAAACGATCATTTAATTAGATAGGACAATTTTTGTTTAATAAGATTGTGTGGAAGTGTAATAATAAGAATAGAAAAGTCAAAACTGTCAACCGAATTTAGTTCTAAGTCGACCATTTTTGTCAATTTCTTGTTCGAAACAGGAACTTGGAGCTACGTTTGATGCCAGCTTCTTTTTCATTTTCTGCGGGAAGCTCCTGTTTGCTGTCTGCCTCATTAGAATAAATGAAAATGTCCGAAAGCATAGGGATACAATTGATTCACATGAAAATGCCAAATGTCTTTTGGCAAACCTTTCCTCTAGATGTTAATGCAACATCCTGGATCGTGTTCATTTCACTTTCAATAGACGTTTTAATTTAATCGGAGGGAGTTTGACAAACTTAAAGATGACGTGCATATTCCTCAAACTATATTTGCGTTGGTTATTTTGCATTGGAGTAATGCTTTCGACCTTGAAGTTTAAAAGAGACATACTAGTATAAAAGAAGAGAAGTTAAATGTTGTATGCTTTTGCAAAAAGATGGGGACTTAGGTTGTAAGTTATTTGACATACATTTTGAATGTTGACGTATCAACAGATGATTCACATTGCACGTTGATAGCGGCAGAGGCACTTTTTAGTTTCGATTTGGTAGCCATATATTGGCAATTTTAACATTATGTATTTTGAGCGTCACTGATGAATCTTTTGCAGTCGAAACGCGCATCTGGTGTACAAAAGTTTAATCCTAATATCTAAGATGAGTTTAGTCGAATGGCAAGCGATACATGTATAGCAGAAGATATTTACATTGGCGACGCACCTCGTTTCAATAATTTCTGCATCCATGCAATTCTCTCAGTTTTGGTGTGTTACCTTGATTTGTCTTCTTATAATATTTGGAATATTTGAACATCGGTACAACTGCTGTGTTATTTTGTCACAATGTTTCAAAATGTTCGGCTTTTTTCGACTTCATAATTTACTTTTCCTTCCAACTGTTTTGATTAAAGCGCCACTGAAGAGTTTTGCGTAACGTTTGGCGTACCGATTTCTGTCAGGTATATTTGATTTTATTTCTGATACAAAATAATGATTTACATTTTGAAAGATGTTATTTCAGGAACTGGTATATAACTTGGATAGTATACTTAAAGAAAATCCAGTTTTTTTTATTTTTTGATGCATAGGCAACCGACCTTTCTTTATTAAATACTGTCATCACATGTTTAGTTTTCCAAGTTACCAAGGTTTGTCCCAGCACCATAGTCCTTAACAATGCAGTTAATGCCATGCAATATTCAAACATAATTGTTAAAGCTTTGTCTCCAGTGACGACAACACATAATTGTAATGACAGATGTACCCAAAGTTTGAATATACCAATATCGTTTTTTATTGATTTGATTTGCATCAACAATCTAACAGCAACCTTCGATTCTGCAGGAGTATCTAAGTCTTCCCTTTAGTGTTTATTACATTGTCTTGCCTATTTTGCAAATAACGTTATAGACACATTTCACAAGTTATTATAGTCTCATAAAATTAGTTATGTGAGGTATAAGGCAGCAACGTTGTTTGTAATTGAAATTAAAAGTAATCAAAATGTTAATTATTGCCGTAAAACACATAGAATTGTCGCTGATAAATTGAGTGCATACGTATACAATTACGTATTTGCTTCATGTTTTTAAAGTTACATGTTTATTGAACGTTGCCAACATATCTAATATATAATGAATAGTTTTGAATAATTTCTCAATTAGATTTTTCCCTGGAAGAAATCACCGTTAGCAGATCCCTTTTACGAGAAGACAAACGAAAAAAGAATGTTAAGTTACCAGATACAACGTCAACCAGTCAAGATGTATCAGATGTGACGGAGGACGCATCATTATGGGCCAACGAAGGAGATCTAAATTGTAAATTAAATGAATCACCATGGTTAGATGCCTCGTCATCCACTAAAAGCTCCATGACAAAATATGAAAATGTCAAAACCCTGTCTGAACATCACTTTCAAACCTTACCTGATTATGCTGGTAGTATGGGAATAAATATGAACAAGAAATTATTAGGTCATGTATCAGGACAGAAATCGAAAATACAAGACAACGATGATGCGTATGAGACAGCTGTGCTAGCTACACGCTCTTGTTCAGAAAGGGAATCAGAGAGATTAGTTTGTGGTGGAAAAAGTGAAGGTGGCTCTATCAATAGGAACGAACAAGTCGCACAAAATTATACAACTGTAAACGAAAATACTGATGCTGCGAATGATAAACAAATATGTGAAGCTTCGTTTGATAAATTCAAACCAATGAACGATTCTAATGATGCTTCTATAAAATCAGGTGTCACTGGTGATTTGCATATAGAAACTGTTACTGAACCTGGAGTTATCAGAAAGCTAAAACAATTCTTTGGCATTACCAAACAAGTAAAAGAGGTTAAAGTGTCAATCACGAAGGATAAATTCTTAAAGAAGTCTTCTAAAGTCGGAAAAAAGAAGTTACACAACAAAAATATAGCCCCAATAATGGTCTGGGATTTTGGAGGGCAGGATGTTTTCTATTCAACTCATCAGACATTTCTGACATACAGAGCTATTTATATAATTGTATTAGATGGAAGTAAAAAACTCGATGATCCTTGTCCGTATGAACAATACCTTCCAGGAAAGAGTGGACATAAAACCTCAAGAGGTATGTATAAACATACATACATTTTAAAAACACACTGTTGTGAAACAAAAGTAAACAAGATAAACAACATTTCCAAACAGGTTAAAGAAAATACGCTTGTTAACTTAAACACCCTCAAATGTTAGGCCATTATCGAAGATAAGCCCTCAATTTATTTAAACAGTACATTTCGAGAAGTTATACATATTAATGACGTTGATACTTTTCCCCTTATGTATTCAACGTTTTTATTTTGTTTATTCCTTCAGATTATCTGTTATTCTGGATCAACACCATTATTACATACTGTAAAGGAAGCATTCAGGGATTTCCTAAAGTAATGGTTGTTTTAACTCACAAAGATCAGGTAAAAGCTGTAAGTATGATGTAGTACATTTCTACAATTGAAACGATGGACTGTTTGGATTTGAATAATGTCTTATAATCTAATAAAAAGAGGATGCAATACGTTTTCATTTATATGTCATTTGAATCAGAATGTAACGTTGTAAACTCACGCAATGGTTTGATTGCAATAATGTAATTATTTGGTATATATGCAACATACATATCTTCAATTAATTGTTTTATAAAAATATTTAAAAAAAAAATATTGATTAATATAAATATAGGTGGGAAAATATTATATTGATGTTTTTTTTTTCAGAATGAAGTTGAACAAAGACGACATGACATATTTGGAGAAATCTACAAAATGTTTCACAAAAGTCCATTGTTTCAACAATTGGTAATTGATGATGAAATATTTGTAAACGCTAAAGACAAATATGACCCAGAAATGGCGAAGATTAAGGTTGCTATCATCAGGGAATCAGAGAGGCAACCAACATGGGGAGAACCCCTTCCAAAATGCTTTATCCCGTTAGAGTTAGAATTTGCATCGTTGATCAGACGCAACATCCCTCTAATTACACTTGGTCATCTAATGAAAATAAACTCATTGCAGCCTATTAGACCGTTGTCAGAAGCTGAATTGAAGGTATTTCTGAAATTTCAACATTCTATTGGCAAGTTATTGTACTTCGATGAACATAAATTGGACGACCGTATCATTTTGTCTCCCACTCTTCTTATAGATGCATTCAAATCAATTGTTACAGATAGGCAATTTTGTGAAGGAGACAAGAAAAGAGAAGAATTATGGAATGCAATGGGAAAGACAGGGGTGGTATCAAAACAAGCAATAGAAGGCGTTTGGAAGGGAAAGAAGTATGTACAATTTTACGAAGACAAAGATTATCTATTAAATGTCATGACCCATCTTGATATATTGGTTGAACCAAAGAGATACGGCTCTGATCACAACCGCATACCTGCTGACTTTTATTATATCGCAAGTATGGTACGAGCTATAGATGATTCTGGATACCTTCAATCCACTGACATCACCAAACGAAATATTGCCATAGCCTTTCTAGCGTCTTCCATGATGATACCCCCGGCATTATCGTTTAGATTTATCAGTTACTGCCTGTATGTTTGGGCGGTGAAGACATATGGAGAAACCAACAGGGACATGCTGTTCCATAGGGCAGGGGTTTTCACTGTTGATCCTTCAGTAGATATGTATGTTCTCTGCGAAGATGAGATGATTGTTGTCCGTCTCGTTCATGCTGAAACAAACACGCTTATAATGAGGGATATGGCGTCCAGTGTAAACGAATGTTTAGTATCTGCATTGGAGAAAATCAGTCAGTTGTATATCAAAACAAGTAGCGATCAGAGTCACAACAGTGATGCATCCTTTATCACCAGAATATGTTGTAACTCACCGGATAACCCATGTATCCTACCGTTACCAAGACTAACCAAAATTGACAAAATATGGACATGTCCTGAGCATGCCATTGAACACAATATACACACAATCACATCGTGGTTTGCCAGAAAGGTATTTACAAGTTAGTTGAAAAGTGTTCGTTTCTGGTCAAATTTAAAAATCTGATTTGAAAAAAATTGATTTGAAACGAAAATACAGATGGTTCCACAACACTTAAAAGTTGCATTTGATGACATGTGTATTCGTTTCAGCCTTTTCCCAAACAAATTTGTTAGTCAAATAATAAACAAATTTCTTATAACAGCATGGCGGATTAAAAGAAAGGCAAACATATTCGTCCGATTTGTTGTTAAAGGATCTCTTTCCGATAACTCAATTAATCAACTATATTTTCATTGTCTCCTTTCACGTGAAAGGGTGACAAAAACGCAAAACTTTATATTCAAATTTTTTTAATTTAGACTTTTGTGAATGCAAAATATGTGCAATTCATAAAAAATGAACAACCTGTGTTTATAATTAAAACTGAGAGAAATTCTACCAACATAAGTAAAATAAGCGTCTTTTCGTGACATGTTTATCGTGCTTCTATTGCGGTTTTCATGGTTTGTTTTAAATCTGAAGCTTAATAAGAAATGAAAACGAAAGTTTATGTTAAATTATGTGTTTCGAAGCAAAATGAGGTATATAAAAACGAACAACTATTTACAATAGCAAGTTAAGTAACACACAAAACAAAATCAGAATAGTAATGATTAATGATTATGAGATTGATTATCTTAATTAACTGATTACATTTTAAGTGTTAAATTATCGTGTGAGTGATATGATGTAACGTAAAACAAAAATTAACCTATTGTTTCCTTTCTTAAAGGATGAAGAAGAATGTGAACCAGGTTGCCCAGGTATTGTATGCTTAGTCGATAACAAAGAATTATGTAGTTTGTATTTACAGTCCCTGTAACGTAAAAGTTAACACTTTTTTCATTCGGGAATCGTACGTACAGCGTTCGGGAATCGTTCGTATAGAGTTCGGTCATCGTTCGTATATCATTCGTATAGCGTCCGTACAACGTTCGGTCAGCGTTCGTTCATCGTTCGTTCATCGTATGGTAAATGTCATCGTTTAGGGATTTGTATATCGTATGGTTCATGGTATCGTTAAGCGTTTTATTTGTCGTATGGTACATGGTATGGTTTAGCGTTTAGCGTTGCGTTTATCGTATGGTATATGATATCGTTAAGCGTTTCATCTATCGTATGGTTTATCGTTTTGTTAAGCGTCTGATATATGTTAGGGTTTTATTTCAGAAAGTTATTTCAATTATTATTTTGAGTTAAAATAAATTAATATAAAAAGATGCGGGATAAAAAAAAACAATTATTAGTTTGGATTGATTGAAAGTTGGTTGCGTACTTGTATATCCCAAACAACCAAACGGATGCCCCCACTTTGGCAAGTTTTTTGTACTGCCAGCCTTAAGAAAACCTTTAGTGACCATATTTATATCCTTTTGTCACCCTTTGGACTATATTAGATTGGAAAGATTGGATTGGAAACATTTCACTTGTTAATTAAAGCAAATAAGTTATCTTATTTATTATATATTTTGTTTCATACTAACTGCGTAGTTCTTGATGTCTTTTTGTAATTTTGAATCATTTCAAATTCGATCTTATAAAATGTTAAAAAAAAACTAACCTATACAATACCCTTAGTTAATTGAAACGTGAACTATTTATTTACATAAAACATATTTAGTCGTAAAAATAGTATTGGTTGTAAACGTTTTATCTTGATTGAGAAACGTTACTTTAAATGTACTTTAACTTAACGTAGATTTCGAACTGTAAACCATATCTTACCGATAGAAAAAAAATCTGCAACTAATATCATTATAGAATACCCTGCTATATAAAACGAAGGGGAAACATTTCCTTACACCACATTTTGACATGAATAACATGAGACCAATTTGAAATACCGCGAAATAAGTCTCTCTCTTTCTCTCTCTCTCCTCCGCCAAATATTTCCTTGAAACAATAAATTATATATAATGTTCTATAAATGAGGCTTTATATGAGATACACGTTTTATATTTAAATGTATTTAAAGAAAAGACAAGACATCCATGGTATTTGTTCCCCTCAATGTCACAGTCTGATATAAACCGAAAATTGCCAGGGATATATAAAAATTCGTTGAAGACTTCTATGGAACCAGCGTCGCTTGTGATTCCTGCTGTCGGTGTTAAAACTGTTATTTTGACTGTAAACAGTGCTTAAGTCCATGTATGAGTAAAATACAGAATTAAAAAAATAACTCTACCGTTTTTTTATATTTCTTTATTTTAGAGGTAAGCTTCTGGCCAAGTTTCACCAATTTTAACGCAAATCATTTACCTTTAATAACCAATCAATTGTATTCTAAAAGTTGTTGATTTGTTCTGTGTACGAATACATGAAATATTTGTCACTGGACGTTATGCATGCAATCGATGATCAAATACAAATCTACAGTATTTATAAACATACTGCAGTTGTATATATGAAAGAGACTAAATAAAATAAATTTTAATTAATTTACACATATTTGAAGGATCGAAATAACCGCTTCCACAAATGGTTGTTATTGAAAGACTTAAAACTTTACAAATATCACATGCCTCTATGAAATTTCATATCGACGCACCAAACTATTTCCTTTTATCGTGCATAGATCATTTTCCAAATCACTTAAGGTTTTTAACGATCTTCTTACTTGTTCATTACATTCTAAAATTAAAATCCTACACAAATTGCCAAAACTTTTATTTTCAGGCTAGACAGCGTAAAAGATGAATATTGTTTTGTTAGTGTACACACGGTGTTTTGAAGGCCGATATCCAATTTCGCTGAAAAAGAATTAATTTGCGCCGCAAATTAATTACGCTAATTCTTTTTTCGTATCACTTTATTTTAAAAACTGCAGCATTCATTTGCGCCAATAAAACAAGCATGTAATTGCGCAAATGTTATAGACTTATTTGCAATTTGTTGTTCTTAGTGCACTAAGGAGGCCCTTTGCGGTATTTCTACTTGTTTACTAAGAACAAAATATTGCACTAAGGACCAGTCCTGATGGAATGATAGAATTGACACAAAAAACATGGCACATAGAAGGAATATAATTTCAAATTTTATAATCATATCTTTAGTACCCGGTAATTATAAATTTATTTAATGTTTTATCGACACGCGCCACCCTCTGTTGATTGTCACCTGTGTAATCGATAGCAATTCATGTTAGTTCAACCTTGACCCGTTTTGAATCCGCTTGTATTTTAAATTAACATGTTTATGATATTTCAATTGTCTCTGATTTTTTTCGTCTGTTTGTTACTGTCGTATTTCTTTTGTTTTTCTGACTGTTATATTTTTTAGTTCAATGTAATAATGTATGTTCTACTATTTTTTTTTTTTTTCCTTTTAATTTCTCTTGGTTGTTTGTAAACTTCACTTTTTTATAGTTCTCTAGTATTTTTTTATTAAAAAATATTTTAGAATGTATATACTTGTTTACCAGCACATTACATACACATGACTGTTCAAAGTATAACAGTTTATTACATTTTTGTCGAGCCTGCGACTTTTGTCGCAAAAGCGAGACGTATAGCGATCCTACATTCCGTCGTCGGCGTCGGCTAGCGACATCCACATACTCACTCTGTGGTTAAAGTTTTTTAAATTTTAATTACTTTCTTAAACTATCCAGGATTTCTACCAACAGAAGAATGTTTATGATCATAAGATAGTATCCAGAAGTAAAGTTTGGAAAAAAAATCCTGGTTATCTGTGTTTTACTTACATGTATAAATGGGCTTTTTCTCTCTCAGTTAACATTACATTCATTCTGTGGTTAAAGTTTTTGAAATTTAAATAACTTTCTGAAAATATCCCGGATTTCTACCAAACTTGGATAGAAGCTTGTTTATGATCACAAAATAGTATCCAGAAGTAAATTTTGAAGAATAAATCGTATTTTATTTATAAATGGAGTTTTCTGCCAGCTAATATTATTTTCACTCTGTGGTTAAAAGTTTTAAATTTTTTAAAAACTTTCTTAAACTATCCTGGATTTGTACCAGTGGCACGCGCTGATTACAAAGTCATTTAACTTCAAAAAAATAAAATCTATTCACACCAAACTTTATATTTATGAGTTATATACTCATATCTTCTTTTATCCATGTTCTTTGTGGTCTTAAAACATCGTGTTCGTGTCCTTAGTGCAAACACGTTAGTCTTAGTGCACTTAGAAGTCCTTTGCGGTATTTCTGCACACCGTTTTGATGTTTAATTAATAACTGGATTCCCTCCTCCTAGTTATTTACGGGCTAGTTTCTGAGTGCTTAATGCATGTATGTGATCTTATTCACCATTCAAAATGATTGTGCACGAGTCATCTCTAAACAGCCTTGCAAAGCATGATTTAACAGCGCGCATTATGTTTCCATTTAATTTCTCCTTTTTCTATAATAAGTTCAAATGTTGCTTTATTAAATGCACCTAGGTACGTATTTGTAAACTTATGTTATTACTTTATTTCATGTATCTTTTGTGTCTTCTTTTTTGGCTTCAATTACTTATTTTTTTTCTAATTGACTTATTCGTAAATCGAAAAACGCATAAACCTAAATAGAATCATATGGCATTGAATGATTTCTCCAACTCAAAACTAGTTATAGATGCCTCTTAAATTTTATTTTTCTCGTTGGGTTGCTTGTCCATTAATTGACGTTTACGCAGTATTTGAATTTCTTTTGTTCGGTATTTGTAAAAAGCCGCTCATCGATCAATTTCACAAGAAATCTAATACTCGTAATTCATGTACATTGAAGTTTAACTTGCTATCAAATTTTCGTATACGCTCACAGATAAAATAAATGAAACACTTTTAAGCTGTTTAAATCATGCAGTGAATTTTGAAAATATGGTTTTGAAAAACCGGTTATTTCTGTTTAATACTTTTCTGTCCCTTTTCTTAATAATTAGGACACGTGCCACTGGTTAATATAGAACTAGTCAACCATGAATAATCCCAAACAACAATTTTTTTGATTGGTTTGTCATACTTGCTTATCAAT